CATTCAGTTCAACTATTCCGGGTGTCCATTCTTTTGTCTCTGTCAGAAAATTTCTCGCATAAACAAGGGAGCCAGGAGTGGAGAAGCATAATATTTCCTTTTATTGGCGATACGGTGAATTCCTCCAAAACCGCATTTTTGGCATCTTTTAGCTCTAGGGACAAGCATCTCTCTGGCAAAATCTTGAACAGAGACTGTTGATTTTGCATTGAGTTACCGTCTGTCGCTGATATAACTTCAAAAATCGGCGCGAGTTTTGTGCTCGTTGGAATGCCCGGGGGTAGGGTGTGCCATGGAAATGTGACTTCCTCGAGAAGCGCAGAAGTGAGTAAACATACTTAACGTGCCGTTTGTTTTGGATGGACATCGTTTCCGCAATCGAAGACTGACAAACCACAAACACTTCTAGTTAATCTGAAGAGGCTTCAGCAGCACCTGGGAACATACAGCCTTGCACTGAACCAGTAAAAGACATTGCACCCCATGACTTTTCAGACTCCGGGAAGGAAAACAACCGAGATTCCTGTGCTGATTCGGGTATTTTACGTTGCCCGAGGCTGCTAACAAACCCTCATCAACGGAGGGCGAATAGACATAACACAGTGATGACATCCATTTTGCTTGTTCTAGGATGTTCTTCGTAAAGCTGCCCCGGAAGTTGACGCTGAATTTGGCGCGGTATGACAACACGTTATTCTAACATTAGATAATTACCCACGATTTTTAAAACATCTTTGCGAAGCTCATGGTATTCAACTTTTACTCTCCATCGGCCATCCATTTTGAAGATATGAATTAAGCTTCTGCAACAACGGGTCGTGCACGGTTCCTCAAGCAGCTGCTTGTGCAGATGTGGGTAGATGTTGACCTGACTCAGCAGAAAAGTTTTGGATATGCTCATCAGTTGAAACCGATGCAACTACTTCGTTTTCGTTCACTTTGTTGATTTTTTTCTGGTATATTTGATGCGACGGTGCACTGAAATGGCCAAAAGATAAGGTGGCTTTATAAGTTGTGCCAGAATTACGATGGCTCAGCGTTAGAGACGACTGCAATCATGGCCCGTGATGCCATCTGGAGTTTTGAAGATAGCCAGCAATGGTTTGCGCTTTGTAGGAAGGGTAATATATCAGTCGTTCAGCACTTTGTGTAAATTCCTCGCATCGGAAACCAGAGTTGATATTTCTTTATCAACTTGTCTGTACTTGTTTAAATTGGACGAGACACGGCGAACCAATTTGAAAATAGTATAAAAGTACTACACTAAATTTATACTCGGAAGCGTCATCTACCACGTTGATAGGACGACTAGGGTTGTAATATGTCGGATGTGAGTACCCACTGAAAGCGAGTGAAGATTATTCGACCAGTCCTATCCAGTGTTTTCCAATAGCAAGTTCTTCAAGGGAGAGCGTATGCTCCGTAAATGGGGAACAAAATTACTGTAGTAGTTAACGACGCCTAAGGAATTTTACAGCCATGGCTGATTCGTGTTTGTCGTGCGTTATGTCTTTGTCTTCCCTGGATGAGATCCTTGTCCTTTGCTATCAATGACGAACTCCAAAGAATAGGTACTGTTCGTCATAAAAGGACGTTCTCTTGAACACAGCCTGAACCCAAACTTAACATTTTGATGTGTGTGAGATTTCCGAGATGCTCGAAATGATCTACGGTAACAGCCACTTGTCGGATGATCTAAACATGTCACATTGAAGGATAAACCAGAATACACGACCCTCGATACCTGATGGAAGCTGGCTAGGGAGTATTTAACACCGAAGGCGGTTACAGCGTTATAAACTGCGGCGAGTGTTTATGGGCAATGGTTCTCGACAGGAGTTGTACACCTCATCGGGTGTCGGAGGTTGGTACTGGTGAGCATCTACAGCATCGTTTAAACCTGTCGTAAACCTATCTCAGTCTTGCAGAGGAATCGGCCTGTTCTACAGAGAATATCTGGGTAATTCAAGGAGAGTAATCCACAAGTTGTGTTCTAGTAGGTGAGACACAGGTTCTTTTTCACGGAAAACAGCTTTGATACCAGGCTTAAGGTACAACTACTCTTTATGATGAATATATTCATCCAACATCGCTGAATATTTGGTTCGTAAAAGGAGTGTATGATGCAGATGATGGGAGATGGTTAGCATTCTAAACCGACGTGAAAGTGAACAGAAAACGAAGGAAAGCTGTCATCATACGTTTTCTTAAAAGCTGAGACAACAAAAAGTGCTCAATTTACAATATATTAGATATCCCTTGTAGATTCAGAAGAGAAAGAGAACTCGTTAATTTCCCTCACTACGGGTAAATGATGCCCTTGATCTTCCAGACAACATTAGTCACCACAGGATACTGAGATGAAGCGATTGATATCCAAGCTGAATGGTATATATATATATATATATGCAAAATAATATTCGCGAAATACCGTCATGGTCATTGATTCTAACCGTTATATACGTCCACGGGTGCTGTAACTTTGTGAAGCAATTGCAAGTATAGCATTGAGGCAATTGGTTGATGGAATCTGATCTCTCGAACAGCATTGTGACTTCTTACGGCCGATCGTTTCACAAGACCGACAGACGTGGTTCCTTAACGGATTTCACACAATTTAAGCATTGTGAAGATGTCCGGTATGTGCATTGTATATCGGTAAATGGTCTCAACAGGGCGAAGATTCATGTAGAACATAAGATTGACGGAAACTCGGAAGTTGGACCCTTCTGATGGGCACCCAGAAGAGTTTTCGGCAACCTTATGAGCAGTGTGTTACGCGCCGGCACTAAAAATTCTACGAAACTTTGTCTGACCAACTCAATAAACCAGGAGTTAGTCTGTTTCAGTTTTGGGATAGTTAATCGCTCTATATGGTTCAACGGGTACAGTCTCTCTGTGGTCCTGCTACGGCTGGTTCGACTTCGCCGTTCAATTTTCCCGTGAACCTAGAGGATTTTCATTAGCGTAGACACTGACAGAATATTATTCACCTCTGAAGCGTTCCAGGGTAATCTGCAAGAGTGACTCCCGGTCTAGATCCTACAAGAAAACACCCAAACAATTTGAATAGAATCTTCTAGGCTACGGAACAAAATTTGTGGATTCCGTTGGACTATTTCTTGATGAAAGTTGGTTCAGCATCGACCGCACTGATTTTTCATTTCAGCCACATAAGCACGTACACAGTGCTTCTAATCTACATTTGTGCGTTAATTTGACTGAGACATTATCATCTTCGCATTTAAGATAACAATGGCAACCAAATGGAGCTGAGGATCTCAGTTGGTAACCTCCTAAGTGAATCGCTGAGTCCACTCCTCTGGATTAACGTTGAGGTGGACAACTTAAATCACAAATTTGTCTCTTGTTGCCATCAGTAGCGTTTACATCGGACTCACGATAGAGAGCCTCTGAGAAGCGAAATCCAGGGAATTTGGTTGAGTTTCAGAAGAACAAGGATATCATTTTATCTCCGCCTGACGGACGCAGATATGGTCTATGGGGATTTCGTCCTTTCAGTGATGCCAGAGTATGATGAAATTGCTAGAATTAATGTACAGCTGTTTCATTTTTGCTTGAAATCATCAATAGTGCGCACCTCACGAAACTCGGAGAATCTCGAATCCGCGACTTTCAATAGCTTGGCTACGAGCGACTGACCAGAAGTGTGATTAGCTCTTAGTTAGACAGGACACAGTGCCACTTATCCTTCCCCGGTCGGGACAACCAAACTTACTTGGAACTACCGGGCAGGAATAAATACTGAAATTGGGTCGTTCACTCCTAAGCTGAAAGAATCGCCTTCAAGTCGCACTTTCAACGTTCAGCTTATTTTTAGCGTATTTTACAGGTTAAAGAATACAGTCATCATGGCACCAACACTCGCCTCCCTGCTGGTTCTGTATCCTGTATCCACAAGCATCAATCAGTAGCTTTCATCACTATCAGCAGCATGTAGATGATGTGTTCTGTGTATCTGGTGGTAATATTTACCTAGACCCATCAAAAGCACACAGTCTGTAATGTCACGATCGAAAACGTGTGCGAAAGACTTCATCTCTGGATTTTCCCAAGAAACAGCACGCAAGGGAATGGATTCGAATAAGAGCTTTTAGTTTGCTCATAAAAGTTCGACATGTTGATAATATCCTAGTGTGCATTCCGTTATTTCAGGGCTGGCTAGAAACGACGTAGCGGTCAAATTATTTTCACTTAACCACACCAATGACCCAAGTTTCTTTTCTAAAGGACTCCAACTCACCCATCGGACGCATTCCAACAAGGTCCATTATGTTTTTTTCTCTAGTATAGCCACGAAAATAAGATGCCCTTAAATGAAAGTGGGACGCCTGTGTGCATTAATGATGACCCCGTTTCAAATCAGCATCGTTTTTTTCAGTGCGGTAGCATACCAGCACCGTGAATCGCTACTACTTTCCTGCGTCCTCAACTCCATACCAACCATTGGGTTCTTTCCGAGCAGACATTCCACTCCACCTTAAAAACGTACCCAGAATGAACTGTGTAGCTTGATTACCAATGCCAATAGATGTACACATTACATATTTATGCAGCAATCTACTGATTTTGACTGAGATGCCGAGGAAAGGTGAGTGGACGCGTATGGGTCCTAATAAAAAGGTTTTTATTACAATTGTGCGTTTGATTTTTACACGAACATTTTCCCCACAAGATAGGTAATCACTGACGGTTATACATGAGTAATACATACTGGCGCTTGATTACCATCAGCCAGCAACCGAAGGGTTGTTTAGTCGACCATCACTTGGAATATCCACTAGTCATCCAATATACCCTTCCAAAGAACCTGTATTTTTTGTATAATTCGTAGTTGCCAGTTGGCTTCTACTTTAAAAGAAAAGTAACTGACAAAGCTCTTTATCAGAAGGCACGGTTACCAATTTCATGCGACCGATAGAAGCGCCATCGATATAATTCGCTACGGTTTTCGAAAGGTACAAAGGACATAAGATTGATCATTCCGCTCGATATGTGATAGGCACAGGATTTGGAAGGTCACGTGGGTTCCTCTGATTACTCATGTTTGGTCGTCGAGATGGACGACAGGGACAAAACATGAGCACAAAACGATGTCTGAAGTTCCGCAAGAAAATCAAATAGAGTGGAAAATTTACCGCGTACGTGATATCCTTCACCGAAGAGAACAGACGTGACAGATCAATAATTCGCAACGCATGCGGACTGTGTCTGTCCAGGCGGATCAGCGTAACATTAAGTCGAATCAAAACCATACACACCACAGGCATATAAAGCAGCAAGAAGGCGGTAGTGAGTGCTAAGTGTCCCATGACACGACCCATTTCCATTCTATCGTTTTTGTAATCTTTGGGGAATAGATGTTTCCGCTCATGTTTTAACTGCCAAAGCCGGAATCCAATTAGTGCGTTAAGAACCAGCACCAAACAGAATGGGATGGTGTATGTGCAAATCACTTCAAAGGTAACACTGAATTTCGCCACTGGATGTTCCTCAATCATACGACAAGTAAAGTTCGTCCGGCTATCCATGTCAACCATTAAAGTCTGAACGAAAATCCGCGGAATATTGCTCAGAAATCCCATTACGAAGACGAGCAGGCAAGTACACACTGCCCACCTTTTGTGTCGAATGGAGGAACACAATATCGGTCTGCGAATGGTGAATAGACGGTCCAGGGAGAAGACGGTGATTACATAGGACGTGGTGAAAAACATTACGTTCGAAAGGTATTCCACAAATTTACACCCGAATTCGGAAGTGGCGTCAAGTTTGTAAAACGTCTGGTGGTTTGTTGCATAGTGAAGTCCACGGCCGAGAAAATCATCAAATAATGTGTTCGTTATTAACGTGATTCCATTAGAAACAGCAAGTGAGATGGCATAAATTGAAAACCTTGTTCTCGGCGTTTCTCGTGAGAAGACAAGGATGATGAAAAAATTACCGAAAAGGCCACACATTGCTACGACTGGTGATGCATAGGCGCGGAAGACGCCAACATGAACACTATAGTCAGATATATTAGTGGGGTGCATTTGGTAACATTTGGTAACCTGTTCCTGATTCACAATTCGTATAGAAACGTGTCTAGAAGCCATCTAGTTTGCACTCAGTGCTTCAACAAGCATAATATCGATCCAAGTTACTTATTGGTGCACGTGATGAAAACTCATCGGAATCAAGCGTACGCGGGGTCGATAACGATCTTCCGGCCACGGGATAGCAGACCAATAATGGAGCGCCTCTGAATTACGATGCCACGATATAACAAGGGGGCATGAAACATCCCTTGAACTGCACTGGATCTCTCAATACGAACAAGTGAAGAGATGTAACGGGTGTTTCATAACTGGTGGAAATGAAGGGTCGAGCTAAACTAATGTGAAGGGAGAAGGCAACTGCAATTAAAAGATTAATTCCAAGGTAGACCGACATGACCAGTCGAGCAAAAGTAATCAGCTTGAGTCAGAATTCCAACTCACACATCGCCAAAGTTGAAACAATGGATCTCTGGGTCAGCTATTTACTTTTTTTACGTATATGCGAAGCATGCCTTGTATTCTCCATGAACGACAACGACAGATGCGACTGGTAGTGTGGCTTAACCATAGTGGAGGATAACTAGTGACAGGTATCACCTAGAAACAGTACAAAAACAGAGTGAGTTTGGGGAAGAACTAAAATTTTTAGGTCTGAAGGACCGATTGATTACGGTTGTGGATGTCTACGACGGATTTCAGGAGTTGCCGTCAGAAATCCCTTAATGAATTTGCTGACAGCGTCATATGACCAACTGGTACAAAAGTGGTTTTATTCTATTTCCCGAAATGCTAACGGGACTACTTAGAATTCAAAGGTATTTTAACTGGGTCTCTACAAAAATATTAATCTCTTAGCCTTAATACTTCCATTACCAGCGGATATTAGAGTGAAAAACATTAGACTACCTTCGCAAACAGATACTGAGTGAGTGTTCAGTGTGAGCGATGCGTTTCCACTATGTACAGGACCGACCACATTCAATTTTATTTTAAAACTGCCTGGCCATAAAATACATTAGGCTGTCAATTCGCTTTTAATGGCACCATGTCCTTCTACTTCAAGCTCCAGCTATACCGGCTGATACGATACTCAGCTCATCACCCGAAAAGATACTTGTTCTTAGGCTTCCCTATTAAGAATTATATGGTGTGGCGACACCATCCAGTTGTTTGGGGGCATTATGGCTTGATCACGTTGTGTGCAGCATTATGAGCATTATTATAACCGAGTTCATAGTTGAAAAACACTCGGCATCAGGAAATTTCAAAATGGCCAAACCTGGCTTGCTGGACTCAGCTAGTATGCCGTTTAGCGTTATCAGGACGCGCTCAGATATGGAAAAACGTGCAGAGAATGACGCATCCCAACGGTACGACACGTGTCGGATAGCAGATGCGTTGGCGGAGCTCATCAAACACGGTTTAGCAACATAAGACCAGTGTAGTGGGTTTGAGACTGTTCACGACCGGAACACCGCCACTGGCTGTACAGAACGAACAAGTGAACGATCACATTTGGCCACTTAGTCATCCTATATATTTACACAGAAGCTCTGACAATACATGCGTGTCCAGGGTTCTGTGTCTTCTCCTTATCGCGTAATCTGGCAGGCTCAGTGCAGGCCACCCAACAACAAGCGTCCTTTTGAAACCATGTCAGCTCCATCCTCTAACAGCTCCATCATTCGACTTATTTCTCCCCAACCTGCAAACAGATCAATTTTACCAGACAGACTAAAACCGAGCAGTTTTATTCATCATCACTTGTCTAGTTTGCTCATTGTTTTACTTTCTGCAACCCCCCAGCAGAAAGAACTCCAAAGATGGTTGGACTTCCATTCGAGGGGCCATTTTACCACATTTTCTTGTTATCCAATTTGCTGATAAACTTCAGGATTTCAGACCATTAAAACATAGCGACCATTTTACTTGCTGAGCCCCGCATTCCGGCTTTCTACACTTGTCAAATCCACCTGAAAAGCTTTCTTCACTGGTAAAACGGAGCTGTTTTGACAACGATGTTTGCTTGGTAGACACAAAGGCAGGTACAGTGAAGGAGCAACGTGCAGTAACTCCATACTGACTGTAAAACTGAACGTGGGCGTGTGCCATTAACGAAACGAAGGATAATGTGAATGGCTTGAGTAGTGCACGGAAGCAAAGGGGCGGAAGGGAAAAGACTGGCAGTCTATCGCGTTTCCAGCACGGCTCACATTCTATCACAAAAGCTACAGTCTCTATGCCACATATCACCTTAGGAAACAGTGCATTAAGGCAAATGCCGATTGATGGTGTCAGCCCTCTAAGAAACTGTACAGAACCACCTTACCCTCTACAATATAGTGGTAGTTGATTGGTGCTTGTCTACTACGTTCGCCACATGGTCTTGTCGGGCACTAAGCCGTGGGAATAGCTATCTGTCTAGCTGATACATTTTTTCAATTACTGTACGACAGTTAAGGAAATTCGCAAACCCCTTCGGTTGAACCATTACTTTTTGGAATATTTCCAGGCTAGTAAACGAGTCACTTCAAGCCGCTTGAGGTGTAGGCAGGTGTGATACCGAAAGTTGCCAATGTTTTATGGACTAACATTGTACAACCGCATGTAATGACAAATGAGATCGTATAAGAAAGGCCTCTCCTCGAATAGGTCTTATCGGCTAAAGAAACGGGACCTCAGCGATGCAAACAAGTTGAAAACTGCAACATTTGCGCCTTAAATGATTATCAACGGCAGTGAGATAACCATACGATACCTTCCAAATGGCTTTTCCACTTTAGATTTAGAAACGTGGCATACAAATCTATTCATGGGAAATTTCTCCAATAAGCCTGTCGATGGATTGAGTCGTAATCTAATACCTCATCGACTAGAGAAATGCATCACACCTTCTATACCGGAAAATATGTTCAAAACCTACGTTATGTCACACCTATGGAAATAGGACAGCTTATCAAACTATTAAATGCAACGGGGGTGGAAACCCCAACCGACCAAAGGTCACAGCATCCCTCTTACACAACTTTCTTAGTACTAGCTCACCCACACAGACAGAAGGTTCCAACGAAGTTCAAGAGGAACCATCAAATGAACCGAACCAGAAGAACTAGACCCTAGGCTGGACCCAAACACATGTAGGTTTCCCCACCGACCCAACACTTGTTCAACCACTCTAACACACTAAAATCCTTCAGCCGACACCCAACAGAGATTTAGCTTGACTTAGCTGATTGTTCTCCTTCCGCCTTAAATCTCGACCAACCTCGGAACCTAGTCACTTGGCCTGACGAAACTTTTGTGTCAAAAGCGAAACGTTGCCCAGCACTAAATATACCGATTGTCACCAAACTTTTTCGAAAACAATGTTTTATTTTCATAATTATAGGGATAGAACAAATTATGTTTGTTTAATATCCAAAATTAGAAATGAGCAATTTTTTCAGATGATGCTTATCGACGAAGTAGACCGATCTGCAAATGATCGACTGTTCAATAACTAAAGAGACACCAGACCCGGATGTGTACGTAGGAACAAATATACTTGCAGCGTTCACGCTCATAGAGGTCCAAAGTTTCGTTAGAGGAATTACAGGCGGGACTACTTCAAACAACTGTAATCAGTTCTACACGTCATATACTTGCAGTTTCAACAGATGATGAGCAAAGAGGAGGTTTATCGGAGAGTTTGATGGGAAACGGAGCACAGAACGAGTGGCTAATTTTCAAAGACAGGGGAAAACCCAACTTTGATGGACTGGGGCAATCGATGTTGGCAATCGGCATCACTCAAAGTTATCCCAGTTTTATCTCGAGGTATTTCTCACCATAATAATTATAGCTTAATCATCAGCACGCACAAATACAGCTAGCTGATCACAACACGATCGAGAAGACCTACGGTTCACTGCATGCCTGAGAAAACACACTAACGCGGATTTAAAGCCGTGGGGTACGACATACCAGGTGCACAGGGTCAAATATCACAGTCGTTTAGTGAAAAGTTCACGAATATCGTGTGAAGCGACTTTTCAAGATACAACAGAAATTCGCGCCAGGATCTAATTCTAATTCAATATAAAACCTTGAAGAAGTTTTGTCCACATAGTTATCAAACGGCTAAGCTACGGATTGTTGCCTGATATTTTTCTCACTCAAAACTTTTAAACATTCGTTGATTCGTAACGAGAAGTTAGCTTTGCATATTGTGTGCAAAAGCATTGATCTGTTGTTACGCGCAGTCTCAGCCGAGACAGTCAGCAAATGCGGCACTTGAAGAAAAAGGTTCACCGGATAAACAGTTATATTTTTCCGCGGTTTGGGTCACCGGAAAAAAAGACCATCCACGTGTGCATTTATGTTGTCAGGCGAAAATTCGACGGTAGCACAGCAGATAACCATTAATAACGGAAAGATATGGCATCAGGGAAAATACCAGGCTGCGAACATCTATTTTTCATGAAAATTTATCGACATGAATAAGTGTGGAACGCATGAAATAGGAC